GTGTATATATATATATATATATATGTATGACCCCTATATAACCTAAAACCTATACAACAAGCAGATTCAATTATTAATGCCAAATGAACTGTCAAGTTGTTAATTGGGCATAATAAGACTAATTTAATGATTAAAGAAATTTGGCTATAGGTAGTCAGTTCGTCGCTATTTAATGATAAATTGAATAATAAAAATAAATTCAATTTTTAATTTTAAATTTAAAATATTCTGAAAGAAAAGATCAGATTGAAATGAGACTGAAACCTGTAACTCTTACATACCATGCATATGCATTGCCAATTATGCTATCCACATCTTTGCTTCCAAAGTAATTAATTACTCGACTAACTTAGATAAAACTATACATATCCCTCATAGCCTGTATGGTTATATCTAAATTTATCATTCAGTGGAGGCCTAACCACCTACCTATAGCCAAATTACTGTATGTCTAATCATTAAATTAGCCTTATTATACCCTGATTAATGATATGGCACATTTATTTGGCATTAATTACATAAATTTTTATTTTTGTTTACTAATTTAATATAATTTTATCAAAAATCATAAGTATCAAACTAAAATATACAAACCAACTTTTTGTTTTATCAGAAACTAATAGGTAAACCTGTCATTGCCTGGGCAAAAAATGAGAACAAATGTGAGGTTAGCTGACTGGGTGCAACTATCATCGTTGTGCAGTCACAACTATTGTGTGGGAGTGGAAAAAACTCTCTGAGACAGGCTTTCCATCTTTAACTTATTTAATAAAATTTAAAATCTCTTACAACAATTCTTATGATAAGGCATAACACCTCTCAAAGGGAGAGAAACAAGTATGCACAAAAAGTCCAAATGTTCAGTCTATCATTTTTCCTCTTCCAATGATGGTGGTGTGAAAATCGACGGCTCTAGGGTGCACAGCATGGCTTCGAGAGATGTCTTCCTGCAAATAGGTGGACCTGGGCAAATCTGGATGACTCTGGAGAGCAAAGAACAATCCTTGGATGTCAAAAAATCTTTCGTTGGTGAACTGCAGGATCACAAACTTCCGGGAGAGGAGCACTACAGACCAAGAACACTACATCCTTGATTCGCACGATTTTTATAACTTTTCCCCCAAAGTCGTCATTTAATTGGTCTTTCTTTGTCATCTGGTGCCAAACGACACCTGTCGAG